GTGAAATGCCTGGTAGGATTTTGCTGCTGCTGTTGTAGCTCCTTGAATCTTTCTGATTCTCAGAGGGAGATTTTTGTCATCCCATTTTACAGATGAGGAAACAGGCTCAGAGAGGTGAAGTGAGTTGCCCAAAGTCCCACAGCACGTCGGTTGACAGAGCCAAGACTTAAACTCAGATCTGGGCCCTGAGCCCACCCTTCTCCTCTGTGCCTTTGACATTCTCTGGGGAGGGGAGTGGGGGCGGGCCTCCAGCTCAGCCACCTCCCATGCCCTCCTCTTGCAGGTCATCCTTTTTCAGTACTAACGTTGCCGGCACTTCCGCATCTGCCTGTGGGCGCCCCACAGCTGCCGCTCAGCCGCTGAGGTCCAGTGTCCAAGCTGCAGCCAGGAATCCACCCACCTCCGCATCCACCCCTGTCCGCCATCCTGCCCACACCAGGTCGGTTCCCGAGGCCTGGCCTTTCCCTCTCCTGCTGAGAACCAGAACCCACCAGGAGCACCACAGAGTCCTCCTCTTGGAAGGCAGAACTTCCTGAAGTCTGGAATCAGGGTGGAAACAGCCTGTTTTTCCCATTTAAACAAGAGTCCTCTTCAACTTCAGCTGATTACAATAGCAAAAGGCGGAATTGAATAGTGCAACACCAACGGCCTTCTAATTTACAGGTTTTCTTCCCCCACGTTGGCCTTTATTTACTACTTCCTTGGAACCATCTCTGAATTCTGAATAGCTGACAACCCCCAATGTTATCCACTCTGTTGCTTTTGTCCGGAAAACTCTACAGTGTTTGTGGGATGTCCCCAAAGGAAAACTGTGTTCTAATTTTATCATTTCCATCTGTCTGGTTATGTCAAGTTAATTCAGAAAGAGAAGAGACAGTGACCAACCCTGAGAGGCCCAATAGGGCAGAGATGGAGGCCTACCCAGACTAGGAGGCAGGGGGGCATAGACAGGGAATGGGGGGGAACAAAGACCCCCACTGGTTTGGAAATCAAGGAGAGGGCGGTGGCATATTGGACCAAAAGAGGGACTAGCCATTTTAAGGAGAGGAAAGAGACAATTCTGGGGTCAGGGAGAGACCCTGCTGCCATCTAATTATCCAGCGTATATGCAGGAAACATAGCAGAGATGGTACTTGATCTGTGCCATGACTCTTCTGAATGTTTGGACAGGTTAGAGTTGGGAACCCCTGTTGTCTACTTGTTGACCTCTCATAGGGGTACTCAGGCCAGGACTTCTCGATGGAGTGGGGATCCCTCATGGGGGAAAGGGAACAGAGCCCAGTGAAATGGCAGTCAGAATGTTAACCCTGGGTCCATCTCTTAAGTAGAGAGAGGGTGCCCATTGCCTAGGTGAGGGTGCCAAGCTCAGGATTCCAATTGGCACCTCTGTGCTTCCCCGCCAGTACTTCCTGGAGCCGGTCCCACCCACCCTTGAGAACAGAGGCCACACACAGCTGCATAACATCCATCCTGCTACAACTCTTCCACCCCAAACAGAAGGGCTTGGGTGACACATGACCATGATTTATGTTTTCAGAGGATGCCCATTTGTCCTAAGCTTATCCTGTAATTCTAGAACTGCTTGGTGTCCTGATGCATTTTCCACTAGAGGTTGCTAGTCAGCATGTTTTAGCCCAAGTCCGCCTTCCTGCTGTGGTTAACCTGTTACGTTGCTTTTAGAAGGAGACTCTAGGACAGGGAAAACAAGTTCATGGTACATATGTGGCCGCTGTCTCTGTTTTTACCCATGGCAGACATCGCTAATCAATGGCAGCTCTATCTCACTGAGTCTGGATAAGGTTTCAGAGTTCAAGTGCTTGAAGTCGGCACTTAAAATCAAAGCCTATATGTCATTCTTGCTCTGGGATCTATAGGCGGGCTAGGCACAGGTGCAGCCCAAGAAGGGAACCTGCTTCCTCTCCCTTCCAAAGATGGTGACAGCTGACTGAGGGCAAAGAGAAGGCACCACTCAGAACGTGGTGAGAACAGCTCATCCAGTGGTAACTTGTGCCGAGCCCTGTGCACAAGTTACTGACATTACCAGGAGCAACCAGAGCCCAGTCCCTGGCCTTGGGGAGCTCACATCTTTCCTTTGAGTTTTGCTCCTGATCATCAAGGCCCCAGTGGCAACCATGTGGTAAGTGGCCAGCCAAGCCCTGCCCAGGGTCCCCCAACACCCACTCTGCCTTGAGCCTCTCCTCAGGGTCTATTCCTTGTGTGGATCATGTGGCCGTAGCATGTTACAGTTCAAACATGTCTCCACTACCCTGTTAAAAAGAGCAGCCTGGGAACATACAGGCCATCAGACTATTTATTTAAATACAAAAAAAGGGGAACACACACACACACACACACACACACACACGGAAAAAAAATGTAAGCACTTTTTTTTGTAAAACCAATGTCTGTTTTGTTACATACCTTTCATGTCGTGCTTTGTAAATGTCTTATTTGTGTAATAAAGTTAATGCAAGTAGAAGTGCTGGCACTGAAATCCACAACATGATGGGATTCCATTTCTTTCCCACTCTCTGGTGAAGGGCTTAGGTCCCTGGCTCCTAGAATATCTGGGCTGCTGGACAGTGCAATCCTCCTTCCTGGAAAACGGGTACCATTTCCCAGTTAATCAATGATGCATTGTAAAGACCTGATGATGAGTTTCTTCTCGAAGTACTCAGTCACACCTGCTTCTTATCTAAGCTTTGGGGGAAATCAGGCTGGTCGATGCCCTCTGTTCCAGTCTCTGAACACACACTCTTTGCTGGGCTCCATGCTGGCTCTGCACACTCGGAAAAGGCTCCCAGCCGGACCCTGCCTTGGAGGAGCTCTACATCTGGGAAATGCTGTGGGGGCCAAGGGATTGGGTATTACAGCTGGATCCTATCAGACGAGAAGGTCGCAGACTAGGTGAGGGTGGGGCAGGGAGGGAGATGCAGAGGAGCCTGTCTGGAAGATGGGGAAGAATTTAGTAAGGTGAAGTTAAGGGAATATGGGATGGGCAGCAGGGCCCCAGCTTCTTTACTGGACTGGGTGTTATAGTGGTTTTGTCAGGCTCCAGAGCCACCCCGTAACCCGAGGAGTGAGAGAGAGCATCTTTCTGGTGGTCAAATTTCTTTCAGCAGCAGAATCGTTTGCTCCGGCCAAAGCTCCTGGTGTGGAGGGCAGAGCTGCCCTGCAGAATGCAGCGGCTTCCCTGGCCTGCCGCGGCCCTGCGCAGAAATGAGCTGCTCGGAAATCTCTGCTCGTGGCGCACATAATCACTTATGCGGGGCCCCGCTCTTTATTCTATTAGTTAGGAAATCTCCCATCCCTGACCCTCATTTATCTGCTCTTCCAATCCATTTTCAAATGTTTAGATATATGTGTATCTTTGAAAATATACGAGTTTAGTTGTGTGTTTTCTTTACGAATGCACTTTTCGTTTTCAAAGTACAGTTTGGAAACTACCAGTGGAGCTCAACCCTATCTATCAAAGTAACTGGAGTCTTGGGGAGAGGCAATTCTCTCGAGTCTCCTCCCTGGCGCAGCTGAGAGTGAGCCCAGGTCTCCCCTCCCACTGGCTCCTGGCTCTGCCCCAGCATGATGCCTCTGGGTCCCTAGTTTGAGATCTAATTTCCTCTCCTGCCCTCCAAACCTGAGTCACTGTTCTGCCTCCACTGGGTAGCCCTGGTGTCCCAGGGGACAGAGCACAGGGGGTGACAGGATCTAGCAGCCATTAAGGAGGGACAGTTAGACAGAGATTCAGGATGCATATGCCCCTGTGTGGCCCTGGAACACGTTGCCATGCTTCCTCTTCTGATTTTCATCTGACAAATGTGACCTTCAGGGTGGTGCTGAGGAATGATTATATGCAACACTAACAAGTTGTTCTTTAAAGCAAACACATATTGAATACCTGCTATGCGCCAAGTCCTTTACTTGTGTCATCTCATTTAACCACAGGGCTACTGTATTGTTTTAAAGCATTATTATAATTATTTTTTGCATGATGCCAAAGTCACATTCTTTTTTTTTTTTTTCTTTTTCTTTTGTGACAGTTTCACTCTGTTACCCAGGCTGGAGTACAACGGTGCAATCTCGGCTCACTGCAACCTCCATCTCCCGTGTTCAATCAATTCTCGTGGCTCAGCCTCCCAAGTTGCTGGGATTATAGGCACATTCCACCATACCTGGCTAACTTTTGTATTTTTAGTGGAGATGGGGGGTTTCACCATGTTGGCGAGGCTGGTCTTAAACTCCTGGCCTCACGTCTGCCTGCCTCGGCCTCCCCAAGTGGTGGGATTATAGGCATGAGCCACCACACCCACCCTCCAAAGCCATGTTCTTTCTATGGCACCATGCTGATTCTGTGCTTAGGATGTGAGGTTCAAATGGGGGAGCTGCCAGCAGGGAAAGGCAGACCTAAGTAATCATTCTTGGGCCCAGCGTGTCCAGCCCACCTCATTTTGTTGTTGTTGTTTTTCTGTTCTGTTTTGTTTTAGGCTTTCAGCAGCCTGAAGCGATGGGTTTTAGTTTCTGTCTCTAGTGATAAGTGGAAACAAGGGATCAGGAAGTGGCATCACTGGCCAACCAGAAACAGAAACTAAGAACCCACGACTGTATTCTCTTCCTTGGACCCCCTTGCCACCAGCCACGGGTCTGGGCACAGTGATCAGGTCCTACTGCCCTCTGAGACCAAGCAAGTCACCGTCTCTCTGAACCTCAGATTCCCCATCTGCAAAAGCCTTCCCCTTGCAAGGCAGTTGTGAGGAGCGGAGATAAGGCACATATACTACCTGCTCCCGTTAGTGCTCAATTACACCCACCTATTATTATAAAGGGGTGGTTCTCAAATGTTCAGATGCATGAGAAATACTGGGAATGCAAATTGCTAGGCCCCATTCCCAGAGATTCTGATTGGCAGGTCTAGGGTGGGGCCCAGGGATATCTGTAACTCACACTTTTGTCCCGGTGAAATGATGCCCACTGAGAAACAAGCTTTTAAGGAAAATACACCTGGGGCCTCTGACCACAGAAAGTCTTTATTCCTGAGTTAAAAGTCAGGTTCTAAAACGACAGCCTGTTCCCTGGGGCAGCCAATGCCAGTAGGGCAGATGGAAACCTCTGGTGGGGGCAGCCACGGAGTTCACAGCTTGGGCCTGTGACCCACGATCTCGTTGTAGCCCTTTCTACAGGTACGGGTGATCCACTCATGCTCGTCATCATCTGCAAGCAAAGAGGAAGAGCTAGTCATGCTTGGTGCTCGCTGGGACCTTTCCTGGCCTGGGTGTCCCCCAGGTGGGGCCTTGGGACTGGGATGGTCTGTCGATGGCCAGTCTGTTGAGCTTTGCATGGGGAGGAACAGACCTTTCGTTTACACTGAATGCCTCGAAGTGCCTGGTCTTGGGGAAATTGAACACAAAAGGGTTTCTAGCTGTGGGTGCTGCTGATGGGAGGCAAGCATGAGGCGGTCTGGCTGCCCCGAGCTCCACTGGATCTAACAGGCAGAGAGCAGCGCTTCACAGTGGGGCACTTGCCTGGTCTGACAGCCCACGCACGGCAGCCCCGGGACAGCGGGTCTAGCTTGCTGGTGGTGCTAGGAGACAGAGTCCTGAGGTTTTCCTTTCCTTTCTAGGCTTTCCATTCTTGACCCTTTAAAGAACCCATGGTTTCCCCAGGGGACTAACACGCTCTTGTTTACTCCAGGCCTTTCAGTGGGAACAGAGAGAAGCAGGAGATGCTGCTGTGCCCTGAAGGCCCTAGACCAGGCGTTCCCAAACTTTTTACACAGGGGGCCAGTTCACTGTCCCTCAGACCGTTGGAGGGCCGCCACATACTGTGCTCCTCTCACTGACCACCAATGAAAGAGGTGCCCCTTCCTGAAGTGCGGCGGGGGGCCGGATAAATGGCCTCAGGGGGCCACATGTGGACTGCGGGCCGTAGTTTGGGGATGCCTGCCTTAGATGAAGGGTCTCCTTAGTTTAATTTTCATAACCAACCACCCAGTGCAGTTCTCCACCGTCTTACAGATGAACAAACAGAGGCTCACAGAGGTCCAGACACTTGACCACAGCCACAGTGTTGGCACGTGGGAGAGCTCAGATCGGAACCTAGGATTGTCCAGCTACAAAGCCTCTTCTGTTTTTTAAACCTCAATAGAGAGAGTTGAGTGAATCTCACTCTTCAGTCCACAGCAGCTGCCATCGTCTCTCTGTGGAAGAACCCTCCATGGATTTACTTTGTTTTCATTTTTCCTACCTCCAAACCCACACTGGGCCCCTCCTCCACCACGGTAGGGACCTACTCCAATGATGGGCTAGAGATCCCAAAAAATGCATGTTGCTCTGTAAAATATGTGCTGCTGTTTCGCATACCAATGTGTTTTTAATTTACAGAAATGGCATTGTGCTGTGGCTTCCATTATGTCTCAATATTTTTTTTATGCAGGACTTATTCCTGCTGCTGTGTGTACATCCAGCTCTTTGCTTCCTACTGCTGCCTAATATTCCATGCTTGGCTTCCATCACATTTTCCTCTCTGTGCTGGTGTGGACATAGAGGTTGCCTGCAACTCCCGCTACCAGGAACAATGCTGGGACAAGCGTTCCTGGGCACACCCCTTCATACATACATGGAGAATGTCTCTAGGGTTACATCCCCTCCAGGAGGAGGGCCACGGAGTCCTGCACATCCTTCCCACACGGTCCTCCAGCTGCCCATCCTCTTTTCACACCGTGCTGGCTGCCTTCTCCCTGCCGTCCTGCCTCTCCACCTTCCCACCACCCCTCCCTTCCCTTGGTGCCACCCCTGCCTTTAACCAGTGTTCCTACCTAAGAGAAGGAAGGATGGGTCTGCCCACCCTCCTCGGGTGACAAATGACAGATGCTTGGGAACGAGGGCACTCTCTGAGAGCTGAAACACAGAGGGTTCACGGAAAGCTTTAATGAACCAGATCCCCTGCCAGGGATGCCTTCCTCTTCTGTGAAAGGCACCAGACCCAGGGGCAGAGAGGTGGAGGCTCACGGACAGCCTATGTGTGCTTGGTGCTTTGCAGACATTGTGTCTCACTGGATCCTTGTAAAAGCCCAGTCGGGTAGGGGAGAGCCTTATCCTAAGGTTTCAAACCGAAGTTCACCAGCCTCTGCAGCCTGACCTCTCACCCCAGGGCAGATGTGAACACACCAGGAGCTGAGGCTGCTGCCACATCACCAACCACCTCCCTGCCATTTCTTTACATAGGACCTCAGGAAAATGGCTTGCTGCCTGGCACACTCTGGCAAGCAGCCAGTGAGCCTCAGTTGCCTCTGGGGAGGCTGCCTGGGAGTCCCCGCTGAGGCTGGGAAGCCCAGGGGTGGGGAAAGAGTGATGATGTGTCAGCACACAAGGAGTTAAACGCTGGTGGAGCCCACTTTTGCCACACTGTGAGCAGCCTGGTTGGTAATTACAGTTCTGAAGTCTCCAGGCTATTCGAGTCAGTGCAGCTGCAACCTCTTCAGCAGTAACCCCTGAAACCAGACAGACTGGGTTTATTGTGCTGAACCAGTCCTCAGGCCCCTCCCTGATCGTTAAAAATTGACAGCAATGGACTTAACAGCCCTCTTCACTACCCCTTTCACTCTCTACCTGGCTGTACAGCCACCAATTTGAATCACAGATGCCTCCCCTCCCCGGCAGCTGCTCACCAACCCTCCCTCCGCCACCCCTGCGCCTCTCTGCGGCTCCCCTGGCCCTGCCATGCCAGGGTGAGGCTGCCGAAGCACATTTCATCAATATTTAAAATGGAATTAAACCTGCAGCTTTGATTAATGCCTCCCAGATCCTGGGAGTTGTGATTACTATTTTGCAAATTGCGATTGTTGGAATATGTTAATATGATTGTCTGAGAACATCTTCACCTTCTCAGATAATTTCCCTCCTTTTTGGTAGGAGGGGAGAGGGAGAGAAGGGAGAAAAAAGATGGGAAAAAACATCCCACAAACTCTTTAATCAATTGTAAATTATTACCCTTGGCACAACTGCCAGTGGTGCAGAGAGATGGAAGAAGATTTCTGGTTTGGTGTATTTATCTTAAAAATTTCTGGTCCCCACTGGCCCAGTAATTCCACTCTGGGACACTATCTTAAAGGGATAATCTGTTTGTCTCAGAACTATTTAGAATCAGGAAAAAGGAAAATGACCTACATTTCTAAAAACGAGGAAATGATTATTTTGTTGTATATGCATTCATTTAACAAATAGTTATGTGCCAGGCATGGCGCTAAATTCGGGGAGGTGGATACTGTAAGGCACATGAGGGGATATTTAACAGCTTGGAAAATAATTGTTAGGAAGTTTGTATAGCAACATGGGGGAAATATTTTTGATGTGATAATAAGCAAAAGAAAAAAGTCAACAAGAGATAAGAAATAAAATTACATATAATATATGTTGTGTAAAAACTGCACAGAAGAAAGTTAAAGAAAAATTGAAATGTGAATAATAGCCCTGACTAGTGGGACAAGAGACTTTCTCTTTCTTCTTTTATTTCCCAAATCTTCTTTCACTAATGGGTATTAACGATAGAAAAAAAAACGAAATAATTATTGGCTTTTTTTCCTACCCTCCAATTTAATGTCTTGGTAATTTCATGCATTTGTTAATTGAGATAAGATATTTTGGCTGGGCATGGTGGCTCACAACTGTACTCCCAGCACTTTGGGAAGCTGAGGTGGACAGACTGCTTGAGGCTGGGAGTTTGAATCCAGCCTGGGCAACATGGCAAAACTTCCTCTCTACAAAAAATAGAAAGCTGGGTGTGGTGGCAAGCGCCTGTGGTCCCAGCTACTTGGAAGGCTGAAATGGAAGCATCACCTGAGCCTGGGATGGTGGAGGCCGCGGGGAGCTGTGATCACGCCACTGCACTCCAGCCTGGGTGACAGAGTTGAGTGTCTCTAACTAACTAACTAAATAAATAAAATAATATTTCTGGGTTCCTAGAAATACCAACAGGGTTCTTGAACTCCTGAAAAGCAAAAAGAACTTGCATAAAGATATTGGTGAAAATGCATAAATATCAGAATAGACAAATCTGCGCAGGAGAACTCCAGGTAATTTATGTACTCTGCCCTCAAAGACTTGGAGCAAAAATCCCCACTTCTGAAGTGTGGCTGTGCATAGTGACTTCCAAAGAGTACAGTGTGGAAAGGGAGCAGGGGGAAAGGGACTTTATAACGGAGAAACCTCACAAACACTACCTCAGCCAGGTGATCAAGGTCAACAGCAACATTGGTTAGTCATGGTGACAGTCTGGACCCTTGATAGGATGGGATGAAGAGGACACTTTACCTCTGTGATCTTCCTCCTAAACCCACAACTCCAATTTACTCATGAGAAAAACATCAGACAGATTCCAGTTGAGGGGTATCCTGCAAAAAATCTGACCAGGACTCCCCAAAACTGTCATAAAAAACAAGGGAAGCCTAAGCCACGCTCATCCCCCAGTGGAGCCTAAGGAGACAGGATGGGGATCCTGGAACAGAAAACAGACATCAGGGAAAGGCATCTGTAAAAAGTATGGGCTTTAGTGAATCGCAACATCAATATTAGTTCATTAATTGTGACAGATGTACCATCCGATATAAGACCGTCATAACGGGAAATTGTACTATCTTTGCGAGAATTCTGTTAATTTAACTCCTTTCAAATAAACATTTTAAGAAATACATGAACATCCAGTGTGCTCCCTGAAAGGTGAGATTCTCGTGTTCTCTAAGAGGAATGGCCAATCCTTCACAGACCCAGACATCCAAATTGAAGTCATTCACTCTCTTTTCATTCATGGTCCCCTCATATCACAATTTTTGAATCTATACTTGTTTGCTTTTTTTCTTTTTTTGAGATGGAGTTTTGCTCTTACTGCCCAGGGTGGAGTGCAATGGCGTGAGATCTCATTGATTGGCCAGTGAGAGACAGTGCATAGTGTGGACGGGAAGGGTTGATTGGCCAGTTGTTCACTAAGACTCTTCTAGGTATGATAATAGAAATATGCCATCCATAGATACAAAATAAGCTGTGCTTTTAGTCTCTAGAGCTGTGCTGTCCCACATGGTAGTCACTAGCCACATTGTAACCATTGAACACCTGAAATCCGGCCAGTCCTAACTGATGTGTGCTGTTAGTGTAACATACACACCAGATTTCAAACACATACTGTAAATAAAACAATATAAAATAGTACTTTTTAATATT